GTAGGTAGATTAAGACACAAATCTTTATTGTTAATTTTTTTTGCATATCTCATTGCTCTGTCATCTTTTTTTCATTGTGAAAATACTGTACAGAGGGGTTACAATTACATGGGCAAGATAATGAGTACATTTCTTATCAAGCATTGTAGCCTCCTCCTTTGTTTCCCCTTCCCATCCCTTCCCCATCCCTTCCCATCCTCCCCTCACCCCCACCCAATCCTCCCCCCCCCCACCAAAATTGTAACATTCATTTTTCCACATAAGGACTTGTACATGTCATTGTTGCAATGGATCCACCTGTATCCCTATTTAAACAATTAGTTTTTTCCCTTCTCCACAAATTATACAACCTCAATATAGTGAAAGCAGGGTTTATACCTTGGGGGAGGGACATACAAAGCAACAAAGAAATAATCTTATAAATGTGTTAGAAACAAATCTTTGTTTAATAGTACCCTAGGTTAGGTAGGTTTTAGTTTGCTATGTCATCTAATGCAATGCACATGCAACCTTATCTAGTAGAAGCCAAAATGCTAATATAATTTTAAAGATAGAAGTCAAATACTGGGTGTGAGAGAAAAGTGCTAGATTAGTGCTTAATGTTAAGTGAGGAATAGGTAAATATAGGAATCATTATACAACCATTTAAATCAATAAACTTTTATCATTGGCTTGTAAGACTTTCTAGTCCCGTTCTCCTTTTCCAGCACTAGAAAAGGAAAAGATATGAAGGTTATATTTGTGAAGTACACTTACTTTTTTTTGGGGGGGGGGTTCTGGTCGTGGGTCCTGAACTCAGGGCCTGGGCGCTGTCCCTCAGCTCTTCAGCTCAAAGCTAGCGCTCTACCACTTGAGCCACAGCGCCACTTCCGGCTTTTTTCTTATGTGGTGCTGAGGAATCGAACCCAGGGCCTCAGGCATGCAAGGCAAGTGCTCTACCACTGAGCCACCTTCCCAGCCCTACACTTCTTAATGGAGGATTGAGAATGACATAGCTTGTCCCACATACACAAGGCCCTAGGTTTGATCCCCAGCACTGAAAAATGAATACAGCCCCCAAAATTACAGCAAACAAGGTACATCTGACAACAAAAAGCATGATAGCATTAGGCTACTAATAGCTCAGTAACCCTTCATTACACGCAGAATCACTGTATTCAAAGGGTCTGTGTTCTTAATTCAACATTTCTCTACTGTCCTTGAAATATCTTTTTGTGTTATTGAAGCAGGATAGATCAGGGAAAATAAGGCATGGGAAATAGCCAATAATTTACAGGTAAGTATTGTAGTAATGACTAGATTTAGTAAAATATACAGGCACTGTATAGATTAAGCTTTGCACTACCTCAGTAAGCTACAACATTTACAAAAAGGAAAAATGAAAAGCAGCCCTCTCCTAACCATGACACTTGTCCAACTAATTACTCTGCCTGGGTACACAAGTGCTTATTAGTGCAATTCTTTTGTGATTGAAGTTAAGGACCTGAGGATTGCTAACTCTGAAGGGAATCTTCACAAACCCATACCAGCCATCAGTGATACTACCAAGTTCTGATGAATGAAAAAGCAGCAGACAAGTGGAGAGAGTACCTTGTGCCTTTTAACCTTGCCCCTTCCACTGCCACACAGTCCATCGGCTGGGACGCGCAGCAGAGCAGGTGAGCGGGAGGCGCTGCAGTCCGTCCCCAGTGCTGTTTAAGCCATCTTTTTTGAGTGTGCTCTCATAGTTGGTAACAACCACAACCCTATTGGAACTGGGTGTATTTATAACTGTATATCTCCCAACACATGCTTGGACTGTGTTGTCTTTTTTAAATTTGAACTCCGGGCCTGGTTGCTGCCCCTCAGCCCTTCAGCTCAAGGCGAGCGCTCCACCACTGAGCCGCAGCGCCACTTCCGGCTTTTCCTGCTGTTGTGGTGCTGAGGAATCGAACCCAGCGCCTCCTGCCTGCAAGGCAGCGCTCCAGCCCTAGCCACTTCCAGCGGTGCCCACGAAGGCTCCTTCCCCAGGGCCGCGTCTGGGGAGCGGTGGCCCTCGGCTCCCTTCCTTTGCTGGAAGGGCGCTCGCAGTGCGTGCGCACGCGCGCGCGCCGGGGGTGTTGGTCCGTGAGGCCGAAGCGTGTGGCCACGTTCACGGGGATCAGCGGTGCCAGTTCGGGGCCGTGTCGAGCTCTAAGCTCCGGGTCCTCTCGACGCTTCAACTCGCACAGCGACGCCAGAGGAACGGCCGGGTCCCTCCGGCCCCGTGTTGGACGCGGGCTTGGGCGCCGTCGCTGGCCTGCCACTCACCGCGGAGCTCCACTTGACTCCGGTTGCCCGGAGGTGGGCCCGGGACTCCGGTCGCCCAGAGGTGGGGTGAAGACTCGGGTTGCCCGGAGGTGGGGTCGGGACTCCGGTTGCCGGGAGGTGGGCCCGGGACTCCGGTTGCCCGGAGGTGGGCCCGGGACTCCGGTTGCCCGGAGGTGGGGTCGGGACTCGGGTTGCCCGGAGGTGGGGTCGGGACTC